CCGAAGGTCTTTCGGAAACAGCCTCTCTACTCCTTCGGGTAGGGGTAAGGTCTGCGTACACACTACCCTCCCCAGACCCCATTAGTGGGATTTTACTGGATTGTTGTTGTTGTTGTTGTTGTTTCTTCCCAAAGCATCTAGAATTTTCATCCTGGCAAGTTGAGTGTATTAGAACTTCTGTTTTTCAGTTTACTTGAATTTATTAGCACCATATTTAGACTTCTGTTTGGGCCTGAACTAGTGCATGATGATGAATGTCTGGTTTTTCATGACATCCATATCCATGAAATATGGAAGCGTCATAACAGTGTCTGGATAGATGGTTCTTTAGGACTTCACTGGAATGGTAAGGATGTAGGTTGCCTTTCATTAATTTGCCATTGGATTGATTTCTAGCAACTTTAATTTAAACAACTTTATTATGTTATATTTAGTTTTTCCCGAATACTTGGAGTAGAAGTTCAGTGATAGGATGTCTGAAGCAGCAGGGGAAGTGAAGATTGATTCACAAGTCATCCCCAAAAGGGATAATTTCAAATATCTTGGGTTTGTAATCCGAGGCAACGGGGAGATTGACCGTTACTCACCGTATTGAAGCGGGGTGGATGAAATGGAGGCTCGCTTTTGGGATTATGTGTGATAAGAATGTGTCACCAAGACTTAAAAGGCAAGTTCTACAGAGTGGTGGTTAGACCAACTATATTGTATGGGGCGGAGTGCTGACCCGTCAAGAAGTCCCATGTCCAAAAGATGAAGGTAGCTGAAATGAGGATGTTGAGATGGATGTGTGGGCATACTAGGAAAGACAAGATTAGGAACGAAGTTATTAGGGACAAGGTCGGTGTGGCCTTGGTGGAGGACAAACTGCGAGAATCGAGGCTGAGATGGTTCGGGCACATGCAGAGGAGAGCCATAGATGCCCCAGTCAGGAGGTGTGAGAGGTTGACCATGGCGGGTCTAAGGAAGGGTAAGGTAGGCCTAAGAAGTATTAGGGTGAGGTGATTAGGCAGGATATGTTATTGCTCCAGCTTTACCGAGGACGGGGAGGGTGGAGGTCGAGATTTTGGGTGGAAGGTTGACAATAGTCTTTAGTCCCTTAGTCTTATCGGTAGTACTAGTACTAGTTTTGTATTTTTTTCTTATTCCTGGTCTTTATATTACATGTGCCATTTGTTCCTATTATATTGTTGCTATTATTTATTACTTTATTCTCATTGTTCCTTGAGCTGAGGGTCTATCAGAAATAATCTTTCTACCTCCACAAGGTAGGGGTAAAGTCAACATACACACTACCCTCCCCAGACTCCACATGTGGGATTACACTGTATTTGTTGTTGTTGTATTTAGTTTTCCCTGAGTAGTCTCTGAGGGACTTCTTTTTTCTTTTACTAAAGCTGGTAAATTTTTTTCCATGTTACAGGTATGAAGGCTCCTCCTAGGGACTACAGTATTCCAGGATCAGAAGTAAACAGGATCTTTGCAACTATTGGTGCAGTTGGGAACCTCGTTTTTGCATTTAACACGGGAATGATACCAGAGATACAGGTCAGAAAATAAAACCGTGAACTTATGTGATCAGGCCATCCTTTGTTATGACTTTAAAGCAAGTAATAAATTAACCTCCTTCCAATCATCTTACTTGATTTATGTTTCTATTTCCCATCTCAGTTACATCCCTGAAATTTCTACCAGTGGTTGCAGGGGTAATATCTAGTTGATACACTGAACTCGTATTCTCCCAGTTTGCTCATTATCAGAGTGCATGGACTTCTACCCACATGTAATCAGGATTGGGGTGTTTATCCGATCTCTGTCTTTTAATTACATTACTTTTTAGATTAAACTAGCTGACCCAATAGACCAATCATTCAACATGATTTACCTTTCCATTTTCAACTTCCATTTCTATGACCTCATTTGCTGATTGACTGATACAGTCATTTGAAATAAAGTAAAAAATTTCAGAATTTGCTCCAAGAAAGGCAAGTCACTTATTTTGCCAGAGAGAAAAGCCGTTGGTTACTCTTACACTTGTTCTGCATCTTTTTAGTTTTGTTCACCCTGTTGCAGTTAATACAATATCTTTGAATCCGTCTTGTTACAGGCTACAGTCAGACCACCTGTAATTGAGAACATGTTGAAAGCTCTGTTCTTTCAGTTCACAGTGGGAGTTGTGCCCTTGCATGCTGTTACTTATATAGGTTATTGGGCTTATGGATCTAGCGCTTCATCCTATTTACTGAACAATGTTCATGGTCCAGTTTGGTTGAAGGGTGTTGCTCACATGTCTGCTTTCATACAATCGATCATCACTTTGCATGTAATCATCGCCCTTCACTTTGATTTGAGATTTCCTTCTAATCATTTTCTCGTCACAGTTGATTATGTGTCCTTGGAGATGTAAATCCCTCCAAGCTTCCATGTCTTCTAATCTTGTTTTCTGAACTTAGTGTTGCTTTTGCTGCTACTTGCAGATATTTGCAAGTCCAACATATGAGTTTCTGGATACAACATATGGAATCAAAGGAAGTGCTTTGGCTCCTCGTAACATTGCATTTAGACTGGTTGTCAGAGGTGGTTACCTTGTCTTGACCACTTTCCTATCGGCTTTGCTACCGTTCCTGGGAGACTTCATGAGCCTCACTGGCGCTATCAGCACATTTCCGCTCACATTTGTACTCCCAAACCACATGTACCTTGTCGCAAGGAAAAACAAGTTATCTAGCTTACAGAAGAGTTGGCATTGGTTAAACTGTGTCTTCTTTGGTTGTATATCATCTGCTGCATTTGTAGCTGCCTTGAAGCTTATTGTTGTAAAGACTCAAACATTCCATTTTTTCGCAGATATATAGTTTTCCTTAGTTTGGTTTCAATTATTTATTTATTTATCAGCAACTTAACATTAGCATTAGTTGAATAATGCAGCTTGGTTTCAGTCATATCCCGGTGATATTCTGATTAGAATTCAAGTGATTAATAATAAGGTTTAGTGAATCTTGTGGTGCCAGGCAATATTATCCATTTGCAGGCACATTGAATTTGAAAAATTTGAGCGAGACATGGATAAGATTTGGTTCTAATTAATACCCTTTGATCCTAGTATCATTTCCATTTAGCTTAAGAGAAGGCTTTGCGCTCATGGCCTGGTAGGTCAGAAAGACTGGGGGCAAGTGCACAAATAGTCACTCTCAGGGATATAATTTAGGGATAGCCTCAACTTTAGGATAAATCAGGACATTTTTGTCCTGAAAAGCAAAAATTCAGGACGCACCGACTAATTCCTAAATAGCAATATTTTAGAGTAACTACCTGTTGTCATTTCTACGAAAAAGACTAATACAGGGCTCCAATGCTCCAATGCATGAAGATGCAAATTTGATTTTAAGTTGAGATTTGATAAATGAGTTTCAGTTCAAACGTCGTATATTAACTTATCAAATATTTTAGCTTTGGAGGTTTCTAGTTTTATAAGAACACATTAGTCAATGATCACCTCAGCAAGGAGTATTTAATTGGTGCCCAACCATACCACTTGGGAATTAAGGGATAAACTCAACATTAAACAAAACACATTCCTAAAAGATTACCAAGTGGCAAGTGGTATGGTTGAGCACCCATTAAATACTCGTTGCTGAGGTGATCACTAACTAATGTGTTCTTATAACAATATTACAACTTAAAATATCTTCAAGTAGCTTATACTGACCCCAAATAGTTGAGCAGACAAAGTTAAGCGAATCTATCAATCTAAAAATTTATCATAAAGAAAGGAAAGGAAAAAGACCAAGCCAAAAGAAGAGCAATTAATCTTTGAAGTAAGGAAAACGAAAGGGATAGAGAAGCCACAAAACAGAGTTGTTCAGTTGTTGTTTACAAACAAAAAAAAAAACAGTCAGACGAAAGAGTTCTGAAATAAACTAATACAAATAATTTAAATAAAGAGAGCTTATCAGCCAAATACAAAAATATAATATAGAACAAATAAACAGTTTCAATATAAACAAAAATTAAACTTAACTGAAAGTTATACATCATTTCAACAAATATTCTATCATGTTGTACTGAAAATTGTAAGAGAGAAAAAACAAATTAACTTCGAATAAAGTTTGAAGTGTTTGAAGTAAGATAAAGGTAAAAACTTATTCGCACCAATGTGTTTACATCCCGATAGATACATAACAAGTATATAGCACATGTATTTCATGTATTTTACCATACTTAATTATATGCGTTTTCATATCATTAAATCACTTAACTATAGTAAGTTAATATGATTTGGTGCAAATATTTGGTGCGAATAAGTAAATAAGGCTGAGCTCCATTCAAGCATAAAAAAAAGGGTCAAAAAGATAAGAAAAAGTGCTGATTGAATGCTCGAAGACTTCGGTAGAATCTGAACTCGCTCGACCACTTCGCCGGAATGTCAACGCTTTATGTGAGTGGATTCAATTCTTAAAAAACTAATAATAATAAAAAAAGAAATATATATATATAATATATATATACACACACGGTATAACTTTCTGACGATGCGGGTTCATACGAACCCTCTCATATAGGTTCGCCCCTGCATGGTATGATGGAAAGACATGCTCAAAATTTAGGGGCGTACAAAGAAAACCGACAAGTCACACCAAACCGATAATGCGAGTCAAATCGAGAAAAAAAAACCGACTATGGTTCGGTTTGACGATGTAGTGGTTCTGCCGGTTGAGTGCGTAGCGTTGGCACTTATCGCATTTTTGTACGAAAGCTTTGGCGTCTTGTTTCATGCGGGGCCAATAATATCCTGCCTTTACCAGTTTTAACACTAAAGAATCTGCGCCCGAATGGTTTCTGCATATCCCTTCGTGGACTTCTCGCATAACGTAATTAGCTTTGGATGCTCCCAAACATCAGGCCAACGGGCCTTGAAAAGATTTTCTGTACAATTGGCCTCCTTTGAAGCTATATCGTGCTGCTTTGACACGCAGTGCCCGGGATGCCTTGGAATCTTCGGGCAATTTCTCGTGCTCAAGATAATCGATGATCTCATTCCTCCAGTCCCAAACCAAATTAGTCGTATTTACCTCGTAGTAGTTATCTGCATCCAGGACCGAGTGCATAAGTTGTACTACCGTCCTGGACTCTGATCCCTTCATTTTCGTTGATGAACCGAGGTTAGCCAGTGCATCTGCTTCTGCCTTTTCTTTCCTCGGGATATGAGTAATCGACCACTCCCGAAATCGAGCCAGCAGAGCCTGGACCTTCACCACGTATTGTTGTATGCGCTCCTCCTTGGTTTTGAAGATCCCGTAGACCTGATTTATCACCAGCTGTGAGTCACACTTGATTTCTATGACCTCGGAATCTAGTCCCCGGATCAGTTTGAGTCATGCAATCAAAGCCTCATACTCTGCTTCATTGTTAGTTAAAGGGACCGTTCTGATGGCTTGCCTTAGGGTTTCTCCCAAAGCCGTGGTTAATACTATACGAAGCCTGGACCCTTTTGACGTTGGAGGCTTCATCCGTAAATAAGGTCCATGTCGATTATGACACTATTACCGCCTCTTTGGTTGCTAGAGGTAGTAATCCCGGACTGAAATCGGACACAAAATCAGCCAAGACTTGTGACTTAATCATGCCCATTTGACCAACCTACCCGAGAGTTCGGGTTTGTGAAGGATGTTTCGCATTGGAAATGTGGTCACCACAGCTATCGGGTGACACTGGAAGTAGGGCCTCAGCTTCCGTGCGGTGACTACGAGAGCTAAGGCCAGCTTCTTCAACTGCGGGTAGCGAGTTTTTGCTCCCATTAAAATTTTAATAACGTAATAAATGAGAGATTATGTACCTTTGTCCTCACAGACTAAACCTGCACTTACCGCTACTTCCGAGACTGCGAGGTAGACCAACGGTGTTTCACCTTCCTTTGGTTTCGAAATTAACGAAGGGCTTGACAAGTACCTTCTCAAATATCTCAAAGTCTTCTGGCATTTCGGGATCTATTCGAAGTTGTTTTTCTTTTTGAGCAGTGTGAAGAAACGATGGCATTTCTTTGATGATCGGGAAATGAATCTGCTCAAAGCAGCCAATCTCCCCGTGAGCCTTTGGACTTCTTTCACAATTGACAGCTAGTCTGGGATGTCTTTAATGACCTTGATCTTATCGGAATTTACCTCAATCCCTTTTGTGATACTAGAAATCATAGGAACTTGCCGGAGCTGACCCGAACGCGTGCTTCTCGGGGTTAAGCTTCATGTTATGCTTCCTTAGGAAAAGTTTCTTGTAGATGCTTAAGGTGGTCACCTGCATTCAAAGACTTAACGAGCATATCGTCTATATAAACTTCCATAGTTTTCCCTATTTGTTTTTCAAACATCTTGTTTAGGAGCCGCTGATAAATGGCTCCGGCGTTCTTCAACCTGAAGGGCATCACATTATGGCAATATGTGCTGAAATTTGTTATGAACGAAGTCTTTTCCTGATCCTCCGGGTTCATCTTAATTTGGTTGTACCCGGAATAAGCATCGAGGAAACTCATTAACTCATGCCCGGCCGTTGCATCAATCATTTGATAGATGTTTGGCAGTGGGAACGAGTCTTTCAGGCACGCCTTATTCAAGTCCTTATAATCTACACACATGCGAAATTTATTGTTCTTCTTAGGAACTACTACTACATTAGCTAGCCAGTCTGGATACTTTACCTCTCGGATTGAACCGATATCAAGTAAGCGAGTTACCTCTTCTTTGATGAATTTATTCCTAGCCTCAAATAGGGCGTTTCTTTTGTCTTACCGGAGGGATGTTGGGATCCAAACTTAGCTTGTGTACGGCTACCTTCGTTGAGATACTTGTCATGTCTGCATGCGACCACCCAAAACAATCAACATTAATTTTAAGAAATTCAATAAAGCCAGACCTGAGCTCGGAGTGCAGTCTTGTCCCCAAGTGGAATTTCCTTTCTAAGAACTTTTCAAATAATACAACTTGCTCGAGCTCTTCCGCCGTGGATTTTTTAGCATCCGTCTCTTCTGTTACCTGGAAATACCTTGGCACCTGATAAGATTCCGACGCTTCTAGCCCTGGGCTAACTTCATTTGATTCAGGAGTGGGCGCCGATTCCTGTAGTTGCTATGCCATGTGCTCCTTTCCTTTGCTATTGGAGACCTAAATGACATTCATCGCCCTTGCCGCCGGTTGGTCGCCCCTTATCTGTTTAATTCCTTCGGGCGTTGGAAATTTCAGCAATTGATGATACGTTGACGATACAACTCTCATCTCGTGTAACCACGATCTTCCCAGAATAATATTATATCCCATATCACCATCCACCACTTCAAAAAGAGTCATTTTCATCACTCTTTAAGCGTTTGTGGGCAACAAAATCTCTCCTCGGGTTATCACGCTCGCGAGGTTAAACTAGCGAGGAGTTTTGTGGCTGGAATAATGCTTCCGGTGAGTTTAGCTTGCTCCAATACTCTCCATTGTATGATATTGGCCGAACTTCCTGGATCTACTAGCACACGTTTGATTTTAAAGTCTAGCACATTTAAAGAAATTACCAATGCGTCGTTGTGCGGTAGAAATAATCTGTCTGTGTCCTCCTCCTTAAAAGTGATGTCGTCTTCGGCAACTTCCCAGAGCCTCTTACTATGGGTTATTGATATTTTCGTCTTTTTTGCTGCTGAGAAAATGACCCAATTGATCTCATTCCCCCCGAAGATCATGTTGATCGTCTGGCGTAGGGGATCTTCTCCTGATTTTGAGGGTTCCGCGTTATCCCGGTTGTGACCGTAGTTATTTTTGGCCCAATCACTTAAGAATTCTCTGAGATGCCCATTCTTCAATAGTGTCGCCACTTCTTCTCGGAGATGTCGGCAGTCCCTAGT